CGCTTCACATACCCGCTTAGCTATTGATTTGGCAGAACGTTACCTTGAGATATCAGACGTTACTGTAGCAGCTGTGGCGAACCCCGTGAAATCGAGCGATCGCACATTACGCGTCCATTAACACGAAGCTGCTGGTACGAAACAGGCTTAATGTATGATTTATGTCTCTGTAAAGCCAGGAAGCCACAAGCTGCAAGATACAAGGATTATGTTACAAGGATTGTGTTGTCCGTAGATATTAATTATTTAACACGCTCGTGAAATTTCTGGAAAAATTGCTTTTTTTATAGAAAATAGCTTTTCTCGCGTTTCGCAAAAAGACTGATATATTTGACAGAGAAGTAAAAGAATCAATTCATGTCAAATTAAATATGGAGGATAACAAAAGATGTCAGGAGAGACAGAATCAATGTTTTACACGTAATCTGTAAGTTTTTATTCGAATTAAAGTACGTAATAAAAAGCTATCAATACTTCTTGTTTATCTACTTAAATTGTCTGTGCAAACTTAAATATTTTCAACTTGTAGCATGCAGTCTTTAAATTCTTATTAAGATACAAATGTGAGAGTAGAAGGGAAAAAATATAGCAAAGCAGATGAAAAGGACGCGATAGAAAGTAAGAACACGAGAAGACAGAAGTGAGCAGTTCAAAGAGCTAAACATAGACTCGTAATAATTGCACTATTATAGTTATGTAAACAGGCTCGTTTATGCGGAACGGCCTTAAAGCAGGCTTCCTACCCGGCATCTCATTAGTCGCGACAGGAAGAAGGAGGAAGAACGTAGAAAGGAGTGCGACCTCGGTGTACAATGCTGATTTCAAATCGATCGGGGCTTTAACGCTCGTTTTACTGTTTTTTTTTTCTCAACCGCACCTTTCTCTCCGCTAACAGCGGGCGAAGCCTATTTAAGACACGGAAATATTTTTTGCTATGAATTACAAGTCAGCGATAAATAGCTACAGCGAGCGAAAAAAAAGGAACACGATCTCGCGTCGAGTAGATCAGCATTGCTACTGCGCAAACGACATAAAAGAATACTACAAGATTAAAAAAGGAATTCTGTCCATTAAGATGTCATGTTAGTTAACAGTACTAGAGCACGTGAGCAAATTAAATCAGTCTGACGTTTACATTTACATCAGCAATCGATTAACGAAACGTTCTTCGGAATGGTAAGTTTTGCAATAATTGATTCGCCATTGTCTGTTGTAGTTGTGTTAACAGCAGATTGGCAATTAATTAACTAATTGACAATTTAATGAAATTACGCATATAACGCAAAAGATGTTTGAAAACAAGATTCCATTTGAGAATTGTCTGTAATTAGCGACTGCGTACTTTCTTTCATTATATGTTTTCCTGCAATATTATAATGAAAGGTTTACGCATCTTTGTTTTTTAATTTAAAAGAAAGGCCTCTTAAAAAAAATTCATGATATACTCTTTGTTGTATTATTTTAAATTTTTATTATTTCTATTAAGTTGGCGAGTGTAGCAATATCTTTATTTCTTATGTAATTTCACTTCCTGTTATTATCTGAACTCTCTGTTAGACTGCATTTAGAGCGCACTTACTTCAATGCATGTCTAACGAAATGTTACATTAACGATCGCTGGTTCCTTACGCGGTTTCACTGAAGCGAGATTGCGGCATACACGGTAGTTAGTTCAGTTCTACCTTTGCAAAGCAGAAAATTGTTAACTAATTGCACAAGTCTAAAAATTCGAGCAAGGCGGATAAAAAAAGAGAAAAAAAGATTTTTCGTTTGTAAACACTATGAAATATCTACTTATTTAAATTACTTTTATGTTTGCCACCTAATTAATGTTTAAATAAAACTTTTTATAATTACAATGCTAACTTACTACAGTAAGATAAAAATTATAATAAATAACAGCTTAGTTACATGTTTATATCATATTTTATATTACACTAAAATAAAATAAATCTCTATTAGATAGTGCACATACGCAGCGAGTGGAAAATGTAATAATATTTCTCTCGACATGCGTAAAAAAATATAACGAATTGGAAATGTAATAATATGATCATAGTATATTTTTATTATAAAATATAATGAATTGGAAATGTAATAATATGATCATAGCATATTTTTATTATGTAATATCACATTAATACGCATATTAAAGCTTAAAACATAATAAATAAATTTATAATTAAAAATAAAGATTTAATTGCGATTAAAAATAAATATATTTTTTTTATTTTAACGAATGCACATACGGATATGTTAGCTTTATGAGAACAAAGTTTTTTTATGCAATTGCGATGGAAAGAAACCTAAGAAAGAAATCATCCTCGTCTTTTTCATAGAACACTTGTCTTATCAATATGCTATCAGCATCTATGTTAGAATTAAAAGTACACATAGCCATGTATTGTACATAGTAACATTTATTTTTCGATATATTGCTGATAAACTATTGTTCGATGCGTGTCGATAATATCTATAAATTGCAACAAAAACATGTTACATGTAAAAAAAAATTGGTTATTAATATAATTTAATTTAAAATAAACATAAAATATAATGTAGCTCTTTTTCTAAAAAGGATGTAGATAAGGTACTGAATAAAGGTTCTACGTGAGAACAGCCGCTCTTAGAGGATCTTTACGCAGAAGAGATGCTCTGCAGAGGATTCTCTCTATTTACGCGAAGCAACGTATCAAGAGAAAGCTCTATGAACAACTTCATTTCACGACGTGGCTAACGAACTATGAGAATAAATGACGATTTTAAAGCGCCGGATGTTCGTGGCGACGATGACGTCACTAGACGTCGCGACGTCCTTCGTAAACCACGCACTTGCATTTTTATAGCGTTGAAAAGATATTGTTCTGTTTTTGCCGTTGATAAAATATGCAACATCTATTCTATTAATTTGATTAAACGGCGGATCAATATCTTGGAAACTCTGCAGATAATAATTTTCATAATTTTTATTACCTTCTCTTTCCACGTTATTTCATATCGAAAAAAGAATAAAGATTCTTTGTAAAAATCAATTTTAAAGATATCCGAGCGGGATTTAATTTGCTATATAATTTTATTTAGAATACATCACTGCATCTTCAATTACGACGATCAACAAAATTAATTTAATCAACTACTAAGCTTATTACTTGCAGCAGTCTCAAGTCTTCCAGATCTTATTACACATACATAGCAAAAATTCTAGACGTTCCTCATTACGAATCTATGATATCCGAATGAAAAGGTACGGAGCAAGAGATAAGATTGAATTTGTAACGCACTCCGCGATGAGAACTTCGCAGCGCATTGCTTATGATGTGAAGAATAACGGTATGGAATCTGTTCCCTTCCTCGTTAACGACGGCGTGCGATAATAATTAAGCATAAAGAGGCGATGGTGCAAGAAAGCAGGGAGCTTCTAACAAGGACAAATTATGGCTTCGATTCATCTCCGTGCACTGTTATAACGATTGCCTCGGGTCAACGCGAGTTATTCGTCGGTCGCAGCTCACCGATACTCGGATCCCTAACAAGACATTGCAATTACTCGCATTGCATATATATTGCACTGAAAAATAATCAGAGCGTAGTCCCTCGGACTGATGTAATACAGATTACGGGATTATCGCTAAACTCGACAAAAAAAAAGAACGGAGCATCGATAATACATGCGTATCATCGATGGTGCAGATTGATAAACGAAAGCAATACTTGGTGCTCACCGAGTGAAACGTTGCTACAGAACGTTGCTAATGTAGAATTCGATATCGTTATTATGGATTTCGCTAATGGTAAAGGTGCTTACTTTCTTCTCATAATAGTTATGTAAGATCGATCGATCTATTTACGTAACGCCGATAACCTCCGCAGCAGCCGTTGAGAAATGTTACCGTCAAGGAAGTCAGATTACGGAAATCACTCTCTTTCCGTTCGCGTAGCTCTCCTCTCACCGGGAGAAACTGTATAGCCTCTATATGCGCGCTCCTCTGTACGCCTGAATATGATTCGCCCAAGGCAAACATTCGATATTATTTCTTCCAGCAACCTTGACTGTGGAATGATCTACCTTGTACTTCGAATAGAGAAACCTGACCGGTATGCGAGACGTGCACACACTTGACTTTATCTCGGAATATAATGTCGGCATATGATTTGTGAAACACACGCGTAACATTAATTACTTATGGATCTCGAGACGACATGTACAGAGTGTCTCAAAGTTCTATTGTATGCGCGACTCGCGAATAAACAGTCATTTAAATGTAACCTATTCTAAATCAGACAATTCTAAATTTTTATATTTTATTACTGCATGAAATAAAAAATTGCACGATTTAATTTCTCGAGACTTTTCCAGACAATTTTACTGCGATTCGCGAATTTTCTTTGTACAAGAAAATGTTTCGGTGAAAATGCAAGTCAAGCACCAAGTTCCTTAAATCTATACAATTATCCCAGATATCTATTCATCACGCGCTTGCGTTATATATTGCGTTATAATGTTGCAGTTAAAAGAGCATATAAGATATCATTTTAGACACTCAAGAGTTCTATAATATTCTACTGCGTAATCTTTAACTAGATAATAAGCTTCTTGATACGTCCAACTTGAAATCGTAACATGATGACTGGTACAGACACTTTCACATGTCGCCCGGTAACCACATTGTAACATGTTCCGCTTAGTTTCACGGGAAGTAGTTAAGATTCCACTTATAATATATACCGTAGTAGTTATCATAACTCGCAATACCTCCTCAAGTGCATTACGTAAGAAAATTCAACAAGCCGGTTTCATAGACTCTAAGTGTACCTTTTGTCACATGACTTGCATTATGACTGCGCAATTAAATTGGTAGAAATAAACAAACTGTGACTTGCGAGAGTAACATGCTAGTTCAGAGAAATCATTAATCGCTCGCTGTAAAATCAAACTCAAGCTTAAGCCTTTGTGATAGAAAGGTGAGGAAATGCTATATCGGTCAATGAAAAACGCCGTGTTAATAATTTAATATTTATTTTGCTAAGACAGCACGTGTAAAAAAAGAAAAACGCAATCATTATATACAAGGGTAATCGTTAATATCAATTGACGTTCAACTATCGTCAATGATGCAGGTCAAAGCTGATCTCGTGACCGCCGAATCCGCCGCCGTGTCCGAAGCCACCGCCGCCGCCGCCGCCGCCGCCGTGATGACCGTGCACCAGGACCGGGTAGGATTCCTTAACGATGTACGGCACCTTGACTGGGTAAGGCACTTCTTTCTCTACGGCGTAGGGTACTTTTACAGGTACGTTATAGGGCACGGGTATCTTGACGGGCACCTTGACGGGCACCTTGACGGGCACCGGGACCGGTTTTTCCACGGGGACATGTACGGTCTTCTCCACCGGAACCGGGTAAGGCTTTGGTACGTGATACGGTATCGGATTGTCCACCGGAATCTTCACCGGCACGTGCACCGGCACCGGCACGTTTTTCTCGACGGTGTAAGGCACCGGGACTGGTACAGCGACCTCGCGATGAATCGTGATGCCGGAAATTTTTCCGCCATCGCCGCCGCCGCCGCCGCCGCCAAGACCGCCGCCGAATCCTCCGCCGAAGTCACCGCCGAAATCGTGTCCGCCAAAACCACCGCCGCCACCAAAACCGCCATGACCCAGACTCAGTTCCAGGCCGCGCTTGCTCTTGGTGTCCTTTGAGCTGGCAGCTCCTTTGCCGTCGGGCTTCTTGGTCTCGGCGGCCAGAGCCACCGTCGCCACAAGCGCGAGGAGCACGAGGATCTGCGAATAAACGTGTTTTAATTGCGGTCTTTCATCGCCAAGGTTTGGATTGACTGGTCAACTCGGAATGCTCTTTGAGGGTCCCTTTTGAATTAATAGCAGCTTTACGCTTTGCGCGGTGTAGAAAAAATTCGAATTAAATCAAAGTCTCGAAAGGTGCGATGTATGAGGTGACTAAACAACGACGGTTTGCTATTACAAAATTCGATGCACTGGGCAAAAAGGATAATTAATGCGAAGTATCTAATTACGCCACGCTGTTCAGCGGAGCTTTCACTCATCGAGGGAAGATAAAAAATCACACCGTGATCTCTATAATTCTAACACTGCGGCGCGAGAAGTGCAACACCGTAATTATCTAAATGCCGTGCTAAATCCCGATGCCCCCTCATAAGGCGCATAATCCCGCGCATAATCTTCCACTGCCCTAAAGGGACCCCGTCAGAGCCCTACGTACGCGCCGCTGTGCCAGCGGCGCAAGCTCACCTGCGAAGTGCTCATGGTAGCCTTCGGGAGTGCACACTGAGGTTGCATCTCGCCAATCAGCAGCATATATACCGACACTTTCGCCGTGCTCGCCGGCCCACTCCCCGGAAAATCGCACTCGTCCGACGCCGGAACGCCGGCTTAAGGTGGACCCGATTGTGCTCGCCGCTCCGTGCAAAACCGTTCGGCATTAAGCCGTTTTCCCACGGGCTCGCCGCTCGACAAGTCTGATTACTGCCGGATGCCCGGATACGGGCGGCACAGCGTTGCCGCCCCCGTCTAGCTCCAATCGAGGAAGAACCATAATTTAGAGCCCGCAATTGATCTTTCGCGTGCCGACTCTAACCCCTGCTTTCTTTCTTTCTTTCATCTCGGCGGCAGAAACGTCACAAGCGCGCCGGACGTTTTGTTGCTTTTTCTACTTGCTCCTTGTAAATTTTCCCGGACATAACGATACAGCTCTCATAACGGTATAACTCTCAATGCCTTACATAATGCAGCGCTATTTGCCGCGTAGACAGAGACAATCAGGAAATTCGATGAGCGAAGCAATAAATAATACGCAATGTTGGTATACTATTATTAATGATTGTGCCTCGTAAAAGGCGAAATATAATTTTTTTAAATTATATAAAATTGATGCTTGCCAGAATATTAAAATTATTATGAAAGTCTCGGTGAAGCTGTAATAGCACACAGCAGTTTGTTTTTAGGTAATGCTTTCGTCTAATACACAAGTGGAGGCACAAGTGGTTGGTAATATGACAGAGGAATTAATCGGACGCGTCGTCGCGCAATCGTCTGCGACAAGGATCCTACAAATTTAATTCTACGGTTGTTTGCACGTACGCTTTCCTCCGGAGAGATATTTAATAGCGCTCACACACAGGAGGTTTCGCTAGACGTAACTCTTATCGATACACTCAAATCACCGGGCAATTAACAGCTATGACTCGAAAGAAACTTTTTTTTCTTTTGATATCGCATAACTCTTGCGAAAATTGAATCGCGTTATGCCACCCCAGGAGAACGGAATCCGCTCTCGTGTGCGTACACATCGAAATCTTCCTTAGTTAAGCTACGACCGACTTTACGAGCGAATTCAATTTCGACGGCTTGCGACCGTAAATCTAAGTGACAAAATCTGTTGCGCGTAGCGATGCACACGTAAGGTGCGACGTTTAGACTTTCTCCACGTGTCACGGACACGCACACACGCTATGTATGCCGGCATCATGCTTGATGCCCAGTTAATTAAAAAAAAATATATTTGCAATGCGCGAAGGAAGTTATTAAAGTATTACAACGTCGGGCGATGGTACACGCGTTGTCGATTATGAAAGAGGTGACGTAAAAATTTACGTTTTGACATATCGTAAAAGTAATCAGCGTGCTATTGTCGTCTTTTCAATCGTTTTCGTCGAGTTTTACATAAGAACTTATTCCGTAATATTTTTAATAGATACGCAAAGATTGGTCGAAGGTTTCGATTGGTAATCAAGCGCGTCGCGAATAACGTATTGAACCTGAATCAGCCGATGTCGAAGCGAAAGCGATGTTTTTCTCATTTTCGTGACGCTCGCGTGCTCTAATTATAATACGCCATTATCAGATCTTATAAAGATACATGCAACTGCTTTTAGTCATTCATGCGCGGCGACTTTTTATCAAAACCGCTTTCATAATCAATTCTGAGTACTTTAGCGTTAAGTATAACTTTTACTTGTACATTTCCAGCTGATATTTTATTGGCGACCTAAGTAAACTAATGTGTGATACTGCGCAAACGTGTTTCGAATGGCATCTTTGCAAAAGGTCTCACTTACAGGATGATTTGTTCGAAAATAATTACCCCGCAGAAGATATGCAATTACAGCGTTTCGTTTAATATACCGATCCTTGTAATTGCAGGCCAGATGAAGCGCGACTCGCATATTAAATAAATATTTATATTTCGTACGGATCATGGCAAAGTTTCAATGCATTGCAAACATTTGCATTATTTAGTAAACAATCGCATCGATTGTTTAATATATTGATCATTATACAGATTTTGTTTAATGAGGATAATTACAAATTCATTTAACCGAGTTGAACTTTTATGTACAATAATATGTTGCACCTTCACGACTAAAATGCACGTGATAATCAAACATTTCATATGTAATGTGGTGTACAATGTACGCGTGATAATCTTTATCTTTCTCTATTTAATTATTAAAATGTTATTTATTTTAAATATCTTCTGTCCCCTTGCTGATTATTAATTTAACCTTCTCTTTATCAAGCTAGCCTGTATTTATGAATATCTTTTTCATAATTATGACATTATATAATTGAGGCAATTAATGCATTTTAATCGCAATGATTATAAATAATGAATAAAAGATTATAAAGAAACGAATTTGATACATTTTCTCAAGTTTTAATTTGACAAAATAAAATACACGAGTGAAAGAGAGAGCCGGATATCAATTTTTTATCCAACTAACAGCTTAATAAAACATTTTACAATCTTTTCAAACTTTCAAATGAGTCCACTTACAATTTCACTTGCAAGCGCCTATTACTTACACAATCATTTTTTGTTTTACATTAACATAACGTTTTTTTATTCAATCAATTGGATTTATTTCAATAATTAAATTCCGTTTTATATTATTTTTAAAATTAGTATGCGAGTAAATTTTTTTATTAATATATATAATTTTTAATTTAAAATACAAGTAAATATTTATTATATTTTATGAAAATTTATTATGTAAAATTATATGTATCACTTGTTAACTATGTCAATGTGACAACAAAATGAAAACAATCAAATTAAATATGAGCATAAAAATGCATGAGCGCAGTCTCTGTCAGACAATTTTTATCAGGCGGAAGTATCCGTACTTACCAAGAAGCTGAAATCTCAAGACTATCTAGAAAGCTAAAAATCTCTTTCATCTCTCGGGGCGCAAATTATGTTTGTGTTCGAAGGGGCGAAGGCGTAGCAGAAGCGGAAAGGGCGTAACTAGAAAACGGCTTGATAAACACCTTGAGCGCGAGAACATCTATCCATATATTCATGAGAGCCGCAGTCTGGTCGACTCCAAAGCCTTTCCCATTATTGCATAAGGTTACGCTTGCGGTTGGTGAAGCAGAAATGCAGACTACGCGAAAATCCCGCTGTCGACGACGTCTGCCCGCACTGTCGTCGTAGCGCGCGAGAATCCGCCGGTGCACTTAGAGCGCATTTACGCCACCGCAACCACCCGCTCTGCGGTATAAAGTTCAAGAAACTCGAACTCCAAAAAAATATTTCAGCGGAGAATAAGAACTGCCAATTGAAAGTTCGGGACGTCGTCCCGCGCAAAATCAATTTGCATTTGCGCGGATGAGACCGCCTCACGGAGGAAAAAAATACCGCGTTGATGAAATTAATAACGCCGACTCTACGCTGCTAATAAACTTTGGCAGAGGGAAAGGTACACTGGATGCAGACATTTAAGTTGACATTAGACACAGGTGTTCACGTGCAAAGGATTAATTTGCATACGGCGCACACGAGGTGGGTTCGTGTCGCGTACGAGATCAAAAGCGGTTTTCGTGGTCTCGCGAAAAAGCCTCCTCAGCGAAATTAGCGGTAGGAAATACGATGTGCCAAAATTTGCATAAATTGCGAATCTCATAAATATCGGGGATTGGTAGAAAGTGTGCGATCGCCGATTACTACCTCCAATATCGGGCACATATCGTGTGTATTATATCCGGCAGTAAACATAATCGACTAGTTTACTACGCAAAGTTCCGTATACGTAATGCCGCAGACAATCGATGGAATGGAAAAGAGAGAAAAGAAGTGAAAGATTTCACCGCGTTAGATTTAATCTCATATTCGTATAACGATTGTGGGCTCAACAGTTTCCTGATATTATTTTTACTGCAGGAAGACTTTCGAGCAAATAACTTTGCAATTAAAATCGCGCGGTGCGTACGTAATTCAGAACGTAATAACGATTCGCGCAGAGGCACTTATGACACAATAACTATATATATAGGAAAGATTAACTTGGAAACGAGCTAACTAACGCGCGTTACGGGAGTAGATTATGTTTGACTCCTGGATGAGCAGGAGAAAGAAAAGTTTATGATTCTCGTGAAAATTTTATATTGTTTATAATAGAATTATTTCAATTCAAAGGTTGTTTAATATTAATGTACTGAGTGCGCAATAGTATTTAATTTATTACATTAAGTTATGTTAATTATGTATTAATATGCACATTAATTTACCAGTATTATCGCGAATAACAAATTTATATTATTTAGATATATTATGTTGTTGCGCCCGTACTATTTCGCCGCTGATGCTGTGTATGTTACAGCTGACGGACCGATCGATAATATCGATCGGTCATTAGAAAGTTGAAACCAAATGGCATTTATTAATAATCTTTCTTATATTTGTTGTCAAGACAACGAATATTGATTAGCGGTTTAAAGGGTCTCTATGACAGTTATAAACAAACTGTCATATGTCAGATCTTTGGTAGCTGTCTGCTCGGGCGGACGTTTATGACAGCTCCGGTCTTAGTATTGTATTTCCGGTTACTAATTGTTGAGTTTTGTGTTAATTATTAAAGTGTCCTTTTTCATAAAAAGTGTTGATTTATTTGTGCGAACTGCGCGACGCGTTTCGGAAACGTAACAATATATTGCATAAAATATATTGGAATAAATTACACAACTTTGACGTTTTTAAATGAAACTTTACAATGTAACGCGATACTTGCCAGTTGATGACTGCTGATAGATTTACATCTGCTGTCACTACTTCGTGAAAACATGCTACGTGTAGCCAGTTTAGAGCAGGAATGACCGCAGAAAATTAGCTATCTCGGCACCAGCGCATGTCATTAGTTTCAAATTCAATGAATGAGACTGCGCGGCTTCAGTAATTAATGGATTGCCGTCACGCACGCACGTGCAATTGCTGATTAGCCAAGAGCGACGTTCTAACTAATTAACTAATTAACACTCGTCACTACGTTTTTGGTATTGAATTTTTTATCACCGATAAAACGTAAGCGATTAACACTTTCCAAGAGCACCTTTCTACGGCAAATAAATATATTGAGAAAAACAAATCTTGATCGATTACTATCTAAAGATGCCTTTGGATAAATAAACTGTGGAATGAGATGGAAGCCGATGCTTTCGATGCTTCGGAAAACGTCAATTGTCCGATTTCGGGATCGTGTTGGGGAGCAGAGCAGATTGTGGTCTCTAGCGAATCACTATAAATTCATCGAAAACAATTTAATCCGCGGGTATAGGTCAAGTGGAAACCACCGCATACATCGTCCCTTCGATTTTCGCCGCGGATCGATCGACAGCCAATCAAGAGGGGAGGGAGCGTTCGGCCTCTCGAAACACGCTCCCATCCGATGAGAGAAGTCAAATCAATATTTTCGGATTCAAATATGGAAATCCAAATTCAGATGTATGGAAATTTATTCGTACCGATAACCCTGATAAACCATGGATACGCGAGTATTCTAATACCCTACGAATACCCAGCCGAGATCGTAGTACAAAGTCATTCCGAGATTAACTGTACCCGCGAGAGCTACATGTGATAAACCAAAAATCGTGCCACCGTTCTATGCCGAGCGAAACTGGATTTCCACGTTCGCGGCGAAAACCATTTCCGGTCTGTGAGAATTTTATCCGGCGGCGTTAACGAGTTCCAACAACTTCCTATTAAAGCGGCAGTAGCAGCGGCGACGGCGGCGGCGACGGCCAGCATCTTCAAATCATTCTTTTTAATTTCACGGCCGGTGGCGGTGGCTATCTTCTTCACGACGACAAATGTCACGGTGCACGAAATTGTAGGAAAGAGATAACACGCCGGTTGAACATGCTATGAACATGGAAATGAGGCGAGTATATTAAATTCGAAGAAGTTGGAACTGAATTCGAATGTGCCACGCGCGTTTATACATATATCTGACGATGATGAGAATAAAAGCGAGTAAAAAGGAACTTTCGTGTTGTTGAGAAATTCCCATTCTTTACCTTGAGTTAATTAAGCTCTAAATATTGATGAAGCCCTCAGAACATCACAAAAACACAGAAAAGCACTGTCAACTAATTAATAAAAGATTGACATAAAATCTAATTATTTCTCGCCACGTGTTGTTTTAGTATATCGATCCACTTTATAATTAAAAGCTTTATAATTATGAGTAACTATAAAACATATACTGGCAAAATTTAAATTAGCTATTAAATAAAATTCTAAAAATCATACGAAATGTATTTTCTATGAAGAAGACATGTAAAATAGTTACCAAGTTATATATTGTGTTTCTACAAAGCAATTATTTTTAAAATATACAAAATTGATTTTTATAAATAATGTTCGAAACTTGATAGCGGTGTGCAAAACGAAAACATGAAAATGTATTTAATGATCTAAAAAATATTTCATTGTTCATAACTAGTTTGTATTTACTTTTGTTTATTTATCTGTTGAACAAAACTCGATGTTACGCAAGCGTATCAAACAATTCGGACTTTTTCGGCTTTTTGTTGCAAAAATGAATTTTCCACCTAGAATTAAACAGACTCGAAAACACGACGAGACGGTCAAGAAAAAACAACGAGAAAACGGACGCGAAGACAAAGGGAGACAGAGAAAAGCGTCGCCCACGACAGTGTTGTCTTCCTTTCCTTCTGTTGACTTCCTACCCGCCGACAATTTCATCGGCACGCTCGAGTTGCCCAGCGGACAGAGCGTTGCGTCCCTATAAAAGCGAGGGTAGACCATGGCGGTACCAGTGTGCTCACTGCCGACCAACATGAACAGCACCGACAAGCTGAAAGTGAGTAGCTCCAGTAAGATAGCCACTCGAATCACCGCTTGTAGAAACACGAGCCGCATTCGACCAAGTCGCACGACGTGCCGCAAACGCAACTTCTCATTTCCGAGCGACGACTCATTTCCTACTAGATATGTAATGAATAGCCTTGAGGCCAAATTTTGATTTGTGAATTTTTATTATACTTCACATAAAAGTGCTCAACGTTCCTGGAATGTTCGTTGTTCTTGAAATTCAAGACCGTAGATATTACATTTACAAAACTTTCAGCAAATTTACATAGAATAATTATATCCATTTAAAATGTTTTAATTTAAATTCTGTTTTAAATTTTCTCTGTAAAATTTTAATTTATTATAAATTTTAAAAGCACTGCTATAAAAAAATATTTCTACTTTTCAAAAATATAATTAATGTTCTTTGTGTGAAAATTTTTCTGCTAAACTAATATTGTAATTTAAGTTAATATTAATATTATATATTATATATATTATACAAAAGACCCGTATTATTTTGTTTTACAAACTGCAGCAGCAAATTCGAATAAATCATCATAATAGGCTTGATGTAACACGACGATACGGAACCTCTCAAGTCTCGCAAGCGTTAGCATTAATCCCGCAATAACTTAGCGGCGAAGCAACTTACAACGAAACCTCTATATATAATTTATGCGCATTATCTCACGCTCCGCAAAATCTTAAGATCGCGCTTATTGTACAATCCGTAAATTTCTACACGTATATCTGTTTCCTTGTTTCCGGCAGGTGTTACTCCTGTGCGGCCTAGTGTTATCGGTCGTAGCTGAGGAGAAGAAACCCGAGTCGAGCGCACGGCCTAAAGATGAGAAGTCGAAGCGCGGACTGGAGTTGAGCCTGGGTGATCACGGCGGTTTCGGGGGCGGTTTCGGCGACGGCCACGGCTTCGGCGGTGGATTCGGGGGCGGCGAGATAATCTCTACCGATCACATCAAGGCGGTGACAGTCACGAAGCACGTGCCCGTGCCACACCCGTATCCGGTGGAAGTCACGAAGCATGTGCCTTACACAGTGAAGGTGCCGGTCAAAGTGCCCGTCGACCGCCCGTACCCGGTCCACGTGCCGCAGCCTTACCCAGTGGAGGTCACGAAGCACGTACCCTACACAGTAGAGAAGCCGGTGCCCTATCCGGTCAAGGTTCCCATAAAGGTGCCCATCAAAGTGCCCTACCCGGTCAAAGTACCGGTCAAGGTCCCGGTCGAGGTAGCGAAACCGGTGCCTTATCCCGTCAAGGTGCCCGTAGTTGTCAAGGAGCCCTATCCCGTAATCGTTAAGGGTCACGACGAGGGCGGCTACGGCGGCGGCGGATTCGGCGGCGGCGGATTCGGCGGCGGACACGACTTCGGACACGGATTCGAACTCGGTGATATCGGCGGATACGGGCATCATTGAAACAGAGTTGCCGCAAGAAGGAGCGAGACGATCGCTTGTCGTCTTCCCCCTTCTGTCTGGCGGTAAACGGCTCGCGAGACGAGCAGCTCCGTTCGAGGCACCGATCGTCGAAAGATCGAAGGACGACCGGCGAAGCCGCCACGTCGTTCCAATAGGAGGCAACGCGATGCATCAATATTGTATTCATTGTGATCCTATCCTCGAATTGTACTATATGCATTGTAAATGTAAACACGAATAAAGTATTTTTTTTATATGTAATGAAATGCTTATGAAACGTTTGAATGACGTGGGCTGGAGAGGGCTGGAAGGCCTGGCGGCGACAAAAAGACGTATTAGCTCGACACGTTACGCGATTATGAGGAATTGCGAGAAGACTTTCACTCGCCGATATTACGGCGCGTTGCGCCAGGAGAGGTACACCTGTTTCACCGTATATGTGCCACTAGAAAAACGAGCGCCACTCGTAGGGATCGTTAAAGTAAACGGCATCGCGTTAAGACGACCGGCGTGAAGGAGCGGAAAGGGAAAGCCGTAAAGACATAAATGTCAGAGTGCGCGAAAAACGCGGTAAATACCCGCGAATATCCTCTCACCTCTCTCTTTGGACGCGCTCGCGCGCACATGTGGGAGATTAATCTCGCGGTACTTTCGACACACGCATCACGCGCCACCATGCGCGACGTATGCGCGTCTTGCGTCACAAGGATTCGGCGACCGTATAGTTAAGCTGTCAATTGCATCGTCTGATTTTTTCCCCTCCATCGAGCATTCGGCAATCGTTTCGTAGACGCGGTGGAAAATGTGCAAAAAGTCGGAAGGGGCTGTGTTGCCAAATAGCAGAATAATTTTGAAACGTATTTACGCCATTCGGCCAATTATTAGAGTTTATAAACAGAAAGGTGTATCGAATAGTTGCTTTACATGCGAGTTTGTGACCTAATTATATTTAATATATTCCGAGCTACATAGTTTCGAAGATTTTATCATGTAATTTCTTTATAAATTGTTACGGAAATGCTTAAATAAACGTTTTTGATACACGCAATAAGCGTCATCGGAAAGCAATTATCGCAAAATATTAAGCCTCTTATTTGATTGCATTCAATATTATATTTTATCGATAAATCATAAATGTTTCTGTTACATTAAATTAGCCAAGGAATTTCGCATAAATTAAATACAAATAGTGGTGAAATTAACCGCGCTATGCATTTCCGCAAAAGCTTCATACATTTTTCAACTTAATGGTCTGATTACTAAACAAATTGGATTATTCTACATAAGACGTAATCGTCCATATCCAGACGGTGGCATCGTAAGAAATATGAGGACTTCCTCGCATTCTTTTTCCCATGGAAGTTTCGCATACGAATAACGTCGTCGCTCTGCCCGCTTTCATTTCCAGGTTTGTAACCGATCAAACTTTCCCGTACTACATGAACACGGTACACAGCAGCGTCCATCCTACGGCTGGAATATGATAATGGAACTATGGTAATAGAACACAAACCTAATTGCCTCCCACGGTTATAGACCCTGTACCCTCGACAACACAAGTTCCTCCGACCGCATACATCTTAGATACCATTATGCGCAAGCCACTCTGCGGCGACTACGATTCGCCCCGACGATAGGATGTCTCGTTAATACGTGGTTACCGCGTAAACCGAACCGGTCTCCGTAACCGGGAGACACACGAGCCACACGAGAGACATTCACCGTCGGCGACGTCGACGTCGGCGGCTCGTTCTCTCCTCCTTTCCTCCGGCGCTTTACTTTCGTCGTCCTTTCGATCGCGTATGATCGGATAGCCGCGTCGTTTCGCCACACCCTCGACTCATTTCCGCGTGCTGAGTCTGCTTCCGGCGCGCATGCTAAGCTAGAAATTGAAAGTCGTCGGTGATCTTAAAATCCATGAAAGCCGGCTCTAGAGACGAGGGAGACCGTCACGCTTGTTCGTTACGTGTGGGATCGGGAAGTGCATCGTCCGCGCGCGCCCGATGCAGTTCGGCAAAAGCGTGGCAAGTGCCTTTGATTAGGTGCCGTAACGAATAACTTTCGTTATAGGTGAACTTTATCAGCGTCGTTAAAACCGCGAGAATCGATTGGTCATGCAACGTGTTCGATATCGCATGTGATCGATTAGAGGAATGTGAAAATGAGTAAGCATCGTTCTATGCCGGCCGTCGAGTTAAAATCTTGACTAAATTGATCTCCTCGCCGATGTATAAAAATACCATTCACGTTGATCGAGACACGCGGTCGTACGATGAGCAAATGCCGGCGTTATTCAATGCGCTGCGTGCCAGATAATCATAGTTAATGGTTTAGGAAGTTCGCGTGTAAAAGGGGAGAGAGAGATTTCTTCGATCGGTCACGAGACGCGCGGTACAAGAATAATCTGAGATGCGCATATTACGTTTATAAACATCAAGGATAGTCGATGCGAGTTATATAATAAATGAATGTAAATACGTAATAGCTACGCTGTTAACTGTGATGCAATCCTCTTCAACAGATTATTCAAGAGAGGTGTGCGATTGCTCCTATTCCTGAAAGTTATAAAGGCTACAAGAGTAATCGTAAAAGCACAACGCGGGGGGATAAGCGTGCCAATCAAGCCATTGCATTATCTTCCTTTAAATTCAAGAAAAATGAAAAACTGCTTCAAAGCAGCTCTCACGTTGATTCGTTTAACATAATTGATCATCTTTTAACCGCAACGCTTCTTTCGACTGCAATGCAACAAGGACTTTGACATCGACGTTATTAATTCCGAATTGTGGAAAATGACGTTACGTCAAGCGATTTTTATCGCGATAAACGCGGTACAATGAACCTTTGTGTTATCCGCATAGAATTGCGCTTTCTGCCATAATTTTACTCGCGCGCGTGCCTGAACCATTTTTTACGGACATTTGTTGCATCGCGAACGTGCCGTTAATAAGAATCCAGGCGGCGATCTTATCGCGTCCAATTAGAGAAATCTTGAGGGCAGAGTAGCGACGCGGCTGGGTAAGGCAGAAAACGATGGTCGTTACACTTTTGCAGCTATCATATTTTCTTATTTCTTCACAAAAAAAATGTGAACGTGCTGTGTATGATCGTAATTTGGCAATACAAGCAATTGGCAATTTTTTTCCTTTTTTTAAATCCCTAATTTTCAAGATATAATTTATTAGACGTTAGCAAAAAGATAATATTTTAACATGAGTTTAACAAATACTCAATGTCTCCATAATGCCTCCTTAGCTTTTCATAGGATTGCAAAATGCATGACGCTGTTCGACACATTCTGTTAGCGCAAAAGAAGCACGAGAATCCTTTCCATCGCGTCACGTACATCGATGGTTGCGCTTGTTTACACGGAGAAATGATCACCGACATAACGTTAATATTGATACTGTCAACAGCGTCGTCCAAAGTTTGCGTTTTCTAGCATGTCTGCGGAAAGCAAGGGAAGTAGAGTAAAAGCTTATGACATCAAAATTGAAAAAAAGAAATAAAATTTGAGTGATTAATCAAAAAGCGGGAAAAGTGAATATGTCGATTGTAGCTTGTCTTTTGTGATAATTAAATAAAAAAAACTGTTCTGATAATAATTGATTTAATAAAAAGCACGCGGTATTATTGATGAAAAAATTACTTATTTTATCTTATATAATTTTCTTTTATCTTTTGTTAATCACATGTTCCACAAAATAAAAACAGTGAAAAATAATGCTATCATGATTGATACTACATACGATTCATCACACATTGATATTACATACGTCATTATAAAAATTTAAATACATGTGTGTTTTTTTGTCACAGTTATTGCCACAGGTGATCTTTTATCTGAACGTATTCATCTTACAGCAAATATCGTATCTTGACGTAAGTGAGATACAAATACGTAAAGTGTCGATGAAAATGATATGTAATGTGTATTTTTATCGAATTTTTGCGTTAATTATTAATTTATTTTTAACAATAATTTATTGATAAAGTGATTTACTTATTAATGAAAAATATGGTAAGATTTTATTGTGTAAATTTTAATATTATTTTACATAAAGCACTTTTTGCGATATTAATATAATAGCTGCATATAAAAATAAACAAGCTCTCAGTCTATTATTACACACAATAAAAAGTAATTGATCATGGCTAAATTGCACATTAATTCTTGTACGTGCGAAATGGTAATAAATCCGAGATTAGCCGAGCGGCTGAGTAAATTGCCGTACTATCGATTCGATATACGGAGGTAATAACCCTAAAGAATGAAAAGATTGGACTATAATAAATTGGTATAATTGGACAGTTCTAATTGGCTCGCATTTCATGGTAATCTATATTTTTACATAGTTCTATTAAAGTTTCAGCAGTTAAATCTGCCGAACTTAGCTTTAGTCACTTTTGAAATCTATTACATGTAACAATTTGTCAAAGATAAATAAATTTACCACACTATGTTTATTAAAAAAACACGAATTAAAAGATTAAAACAAAAGATTAAACATCCTATATATTGTCTTCTGTCTAAGAGAGATCAAATAAGATTTTAATTAGTATTTATCAGACAGCGTGTTATCGTGACAGCATGTTAATTCATTCAATTCATCAGTGACTTTTGTATAGTGAAGATGTTCTGCAATCAGCTGTGTATTTCTTTTGGAACTGATTATATAAAAATCTCTTAAAGAATTTAAATTTTATGTGTACTTTATAATTCATATATTAAAAACACATATCGCAGATTAAAAATCAATATGTTTGCAATATATTATTTTGACAAAAGTCATCAGAATTATTTTGAAAGTTATCAGTTTATATTTTTTAATTAAAATTTCTCCAAATGTGCATTTTTACTATCAGTTAATTATCATCAAGCAAACCACCGGATTTAACATTAACCACAAGTGATAGCTTTATACTTAACTTAGCTATTTAATCTTAGACAGTAAAAAATGCTCGCAATGTCTGGAAGTGCTATCTGGTTCGCGTGGCTTTTTCTAATTATGCTGCTTACAATAATATATCGGTCTACGGGAGAGTCGTCACAGCTGATAGGTAAGTAATATCGCGGCACAAGTAGACCGGAATAATTCAACGAAGCTGTTACCTCAATACCTCTTGTGTAATATCGGAAGGTAAATTCGCGGAATTCTTATAAAGTGCGCCCAAGAAACGCGGTTAAATTCATCGTTAAGCTAACCGTCTCTATTGTCCGCCGAAGTTATAAAAACTTTCGTTGGAAGTAAAACGTCCAGCAAGCTATATATTATCGTGATAGAAGCCTCAAATCTATTTTATTGTCGCTTGAGAAACCGTTGATAACGAAAATACTGATCTTTCTTTACTATAAAAATTATTTCAAATCTTTTACTCTTGGCTCACTCATTATAGCAAACGTGTAAACGTCATAATTTTTACATTTACAATCATTTACAAAATACAATTTTATAATGATTATAGAAGCAAACAAGAGATAAACGATTGTTGATAAAAATATTAAAAATTATTGCTTTTGTCACATAATCAAGACGAAATCCACAATGTTGTATTAAAGCCACAAATATTGCACGGGCGCATTATTTAAAACGCAATAATTTTTCTCTTTTTCGCCACGCCGGTCTCTCATCGTTTTATTTATGCAACCGCGGCAAAGCTTTGAAAGTTCTACTGAAAATCTCAAGGCTTTTCGTAGTCCTGTGCATATACTATGTCATAATATTATTGCTGTACAGCACACTGTTCGCAGTGCAGTAACTGCGATTACGCATTATAGTCGGTTGTGCGCACTTCCTCGATCGCGGATAGAATCGCTTATGCATCACTACCGGTGCGGCGTAAAAGTGCATCGACTTTCGCGCGGTCTACTTCTGCCTCACGTGAGCGCGATTTTCCCGCGAGGCTTTTTGTTTCTCGTCTCCAGGATATAAACGCGAAGGAAATTGCGCCGTCACGACTCGGTTTCCCGTAACGTTTGCCACTTTGCCATGTAATGTTGCACTCGGGAGGGAGAATAGTGTGGTTTAAAATTACATCGCGATGTGCACGATGATATGCAGATTAATACGTTTCTGCAACCTTTCGTGTTGCGAAACAACACGTAAGAACGCTCGTCTGAAAGGTTCAATTGAAAGATGTCACTGACCTTATGCACACCTGACCGATGCATTCGAGTGAGAAAAACGGAAGCGTGCATCGAATTCCTCCCAAAGATAAAGACCTAGGAAGGGAAAGCAGAGGTTGTGATCATGTTATCGAATCTCAGTATGTGAAACGGCACATTATCTCACTAATCGGATAATACAATGTTCGGTTGATGCGACACACAAATCATGGCATATATTATCTGTAGTTATCTCGATTCCTATCCCGCCGTTCACGTAATCATATAAAATCTTGCTAGCGCGCACGTTGCATTATGCAATATGTTCTTTCGTAAACGCTTCTCCGTACTATAGAAAAACAGAGCATCGTAAAGATCAATTGCGATAATACGGCAAGTGAATCGCTTGTTAAGCAACGAAACAGTTCACAAAACATTTTAATTTAAGATGTAATAATCATATGTACAAATCCCATTGTGTGCGCAAATTGAAGAAAGCGATTGCATCTGCTCAAGAATACGAAGTTTTACTGCAAGGCATAGTTCGAAAATCAGATTTGCAATATCGCGATAACAAGTGCAATAACGTAAGAATTATGTTCCTCTTCGGTATTTCTCAACAAGATGAATATTAGGTGATAATTGTTTCTAAATTATCTCATTACACACATTGGGAAAATAAAATTGCATACAAAATGACGTCAATATATTTGTACAATCGCTCAAAGTTTATTTCTACGTTGATCAATATAGGATTTCAACACTAATAGTCGCAAAAATTAATATTACGACATTAATGTTTGTATCTTAGTATGCAGTCAGCCGAATAATTTCACGGTCCAAATAACGGAAAATAAGCATGTTGTCTACGACATCGAATTATTAATCAGATACAATCCATACGTCGGAATTTTCTCTTACCCCGAAACGGAGCTGGTGAATGTCGTTTTCAACGAATCCATTATAGAATTCAAAGGTAATTATTAATTCACTGAAAATTAATAAAATTAAACTAATGCTAAGTAACTGAATTAAAATTATACAAGCATAAATTGAAAAAAATTTGAGAAATTTGAGTCCCTTTCTCGATTATTATTATTAAACGAATTGTTTTTATATGATAAAATTAGTGCCATGATTATTGCCATTAACGAATAGCTTTTCTTTATCTTGTTACGATACAAATTGAAATTTTTAAGAAATAAATTCTGTCACATCAAATTACGAGTAAATTCCTAACATAATACTCATCAGTTACAATTAAATCAGTTAATATCTACTTTTAGCTTTCAATTTGTTACTTTTTACTATTACTTTATTACATCTTTCAGGATATATATTACCTGAATATGCGGTGACCCGATCAGATCTCTCACTTGAAAGACTTTCTTGGAATGCCAGTGGTATCATTTTAGGAATCGGCACACTCGAAGTAAGTTTAACGTTCCGTAATTGCTAAAGTGATGACCAGAAGAAAATCGAGCGCGCTTATTCGCTTTGTAAGATAATTATAGTTCCTTCATTTGATAATTATTATCATTGGCTTTCTGTCATTGCAGAAACTAAGCAGCGAGAATTATGCAGTTCGAAAATGTCGCTTATTTTTGCCGACAAATATCAAAAGCAGGTATGATATAAAAATCTTTAAGATATGGATATAAAATATAAAGATATTTTTGCAGTAAGATTTGTAAATTATTAGATTATTAAAAAAAATGTATTACGTAAAAATAGTAATAATTAAAAAAATATGATTTTATAATTTTATTATTATTAACTGATAAATTTGTGCACATATTTGTACATAAAATATTCGTCTAAAAAAAGAGAAGAAGAATATCAATTAAGTCCTGTAATATATCAAGTTAACCATGAAATATATGTTTCTTTTTAGCGCTAATCTACCGAAGTCTGTGGAAGATGCAATCATTTATTATGCCCAATCTTGTGTCAGAGAACGTCTTTGTCAGCGAATAGGAATAATAAAGACAGAGGAACTTCAAAATATCAATAAATATAATAAATATGAATATAATCTACCTTATACTTTTCGTCCTGATAATTCAAGGATTGATGTAATCTCTTTAACTTTTTTATTCAAAAATCATACTTCACGCGTAATGATTTGAAATTTTGTGTACAGTTAAGCGTAAACGTGCCCGTGGACATCGCTCTTAAAAAAATAATCGATTACATTAAGGACAACGGCAAATCCATAATTAAAATTCCTGACGTAAAGGAAACAATTAACATAGGATTGGGAGTAAAATGTCATTTTCAAACAGATAATGGAACTTTTCAGTGCGTATAATTATCTTATAATTATTAAAAAAAATTTTTTAATATTTTTCTGAATTAAATTAATATTTCTGAATTATACTAATATATATAATTAGTAGTCTAATAACGCTTTCGTTCAAAATTATTAATTTTTTTTCAGGGATCTCTCGACTCTGAAAAGAACGGAAGATGCAATTATGTCCAACATAGCGCAAACGTATGTTATACGATTTGGTTTTGGACTTTCTACAGCCAAATTTAACTATAATAAATATAAGGTAAAGTTTCGCAATAGTATATAAGTTAACAATTAAAAAATATTATATAGTGATGTTAAATTATATTTAATAAATATGTATTTAGTTTTATATTTTAATATTTATCTTAATATACAGCTTAAAGTTGGCTTTGTAACGGTTAGCGGCAAGCTATTGGGAAGCATTGAAAGATTATCAGTAGCAGCAAAACTAGTGATTGACTATGATAAAACGTGCGACGTGAATTTGAAGTACATCAAAGTGACAGAATTTGGTAAAATCGATTTGAAAATGACTGCTTAGGTTTACTCAATACTTTTACATCCAACATATTAACTTGGTTGACGACAATGTGGAAAAACAAAATTATTAAAGTCATTGAATATAATGTGAGAGATATTGTCGAGGAACAACTACGCAAATATATTTGTGAAAGTAACAAAAATGAGAGAGAAGTTATACCTCTCTTTTAAAATATTTCTTTCAATTAGAATCATTATAATTAAGATAAATGCTTCAATACGTATGTGATATGTATAGTTTAAGAATTAAGATAAGAAATTAAGAATCAAGATAATGCTTCAATAAGTATGTGATATGTATGGTTTAAGAAAAATTTTTGGAAAGTGTAGAAGCTTAAACTTGATCTGTACTTCTATTTATATACGAATACAGATTATTATTGTGTCAAGAATTTTTGACAATCATAAAAAATATCAAATAATAAAACAAATTTTTTCTGATTGTGAAAGCTTTTATGAGAAAAGTATTTTTTCAAACATGTTAGTAATATTAAATAAAACTTATTTCTACTTAAACTAAACTTAAACAGGTTGTGTATTATTTTTTGTATCAATAATTACTTCTGCTGGTTCGGGAGTGACAGTTTCAGAAAGATTAGCGTTTTGTGAATCGCTATCTGTATCTTCTTGATGGGAAGAAATATTTTCATCTTGTAATGAAATTTCTTTTGCTGTAATATCACTATTGAGATTAATTGTTGTAGAAGTATCTTGTGTTATGTTATAATCAAGGTTACTATTATTATTACTATTATCAGCACTAATATTTGTATTCACTACACGCTTCAGAGCCAGGTATTCCTCTACTGATCCTGTCGGAGTTTTCTTAAATGTAGTAGTTGAATCAGTTGCTGACGATTGTGAAGATGTATTCAAGTTTGGTGACTTACTCAGCTTAGATAATCTTTGACGTTCTCTCAAACGTTTTCGAATCTCGGACTGTATTTTCGACTCTTTTATAACATTCTGGACATCATCAGTTTGATAATATCGTGACGCCCAGGTTTCTGTTGAATCCGACTTAGACTGAATGGTCTGAGGTACAGATTCTTTATTTTCTTCTTGAGAAATGATAATTTTATCTTGACTTTTGTCTTCATCACAATTTTCTATTCCCATAACAACGTCACAATAATCATCTAAGTCGATTATCTCGTCTAAGTCCGTGGATCTCTCTTCTTCGTTTCTATCTTCTTTTGTTGTTTTGTTTTCTGTTTTATTCTCTTCTTCTGTTATATTTTCAGAAGAGCTTATTCTTGATTGTTCATTAATATTTTCATTCTTTACATTACTCATTTGTTCTGTAGTTTCAGTATTAATCTGTTTCAGAATGTCTTCGTTGCTAGAGGAAATAAGTTGTGATTTTGAATGTGATTTTTTCCTCGATTTTTTCCGCCTTTCCGCAACATGATCTGCAGAAATTGATATTGATAACATATTGTTCTTTATATCTACATTTCTTTCAGGCATTATTGTTCGTGCTTCGCTTCTGGTAATTGAGTCTGTTTTAGTTACAGTATGTGTATTATTATGTGTTCCTACTACTTCTTGAAGTCTTCTTTCTTCCTTTGAATCTTGTAAACTTATTCTGCTAGGATTTTTCACGATTTCATTGGAATTACCTGTAGATTTTCCAGTTTCTGCAGCACGTTCATTTTCTAGCTTTTGATTTACTCGTGATCCAGCCTCCTCCTCCTCGCTAGATAATAATTCGACAACTGGAGTAGGTTGAACTACTAAAACAACATCTTCATCTTCGCCTTTATTAACTTGTTGAGCACTGATAATTCTTTCTAATTGCTTGCGACAATTCTCTTTCGCTTTGGCATCATCTTGAAGCGTTTGAATATTATTCTCCATTGTTTGACTATTATTTGTTTGTGGCAGATTGGTAGATGGAATTATATTTTCCTCTTTTCGTATCAAAGCTCTTATCGCACGCGCTCGCATTTCCAGCTCCAATAAATCTAACAAGCTGTCACCCTCTTTTCTTTTTTCTTTATCCTCCTCCTTTTTAATTTTAACATCTTTATCACTATTTTCATTCTTAATATTACATTTTACTTTGACATCAGACTTAGCCAAATCATCTTTCTTGTTAACTTGTGCTTTTCCTTTAACTTTTGTTTTATCTCTTTTCAATTTTCCTTTTCCACCATTTTCCTTTTTACTTATATCGTCATCTGTTAACCATTCCTCAGTATCCGAAATGATTTCTAAAGAAGGTCCTATTGGGAGAAAAACATAATTAATAATAGATAATTCTATAAAAATTAACTTACATATTAATATTCAATAATCAATATTCATATACCTGAGTCATTTGATTCACTTGTGTCTGAAGAATCTAACATAGGTTTACCATTTAATATAGCTAATATTCGAGCTTTAGACATACCGCTTAATTCGCTCACACACCATTCTTCTAGTTCATTTAAATCCATTTGCTATCCAAACAATAAGTAATATATATTATTTTCGTTTAAAATTATCTTCATGTACAAACTATCATTAGCATAAATAAATTATGGCACTTACTTTCAAAATTTGAGGCAACATCATACGTATTTTTTCTGGTTTAACAGATTTAAAAAGTTGGCGAGCTAATTCCTTACGATTAGACAAGTAATCCTTGATTGGTTTTAAATCTCTTGCATCAATCTCTTCTTCATCTGATGATAATGATGAAGATGAGCTAGAACTACTGTGTTCCTAAAACAAAATGTTATTTTTAAAGAATGTAATACAAATATTTGTAAATTTTTATAACAAGATATCTCAAATGTAGCTATTAATAATTACTTCACTGTTGCGGTTGTTGTTTTTAGTCTTGGACATGTTTCTTGAACACACACAAGCAATAATTCTTTTAATTTAAATAAACTCTAATCAAACTTAACCAATTTGATTAGTACTACCAGTACAATCATTGAAATGTGCAAAATTGATCGATAATTCAATCACTTCATTCAAAATTAAAAAAAGATTGTAGTTCTTCACTTATCAAATACATAAATAATATTATTTTACATGAAAATTATGAAATTTATTTCTCTCATCACTCTGAAGAGATCTTACATTCCAGTTTGTTTACATTAGGTATTTAAACAGGATGCGCCATCACTCGGTGCATTGAATAACCGTATCATCAAATCTTATTTCTAAATCGATAAAGGTTTACCGATTCAGAAAACATTGTCAGACATCGTGCAGATGTCATTAGGTGAATGTGGCTGATGCTCGTGTCACATTATAACCTATGCTATATTGTTGACAATTGTTTGTCAACAAAATGATTCTAATCCATTATAACTGCTGATTGGCCAATTGTAGTAAGTACCATTATATCAATAAAATAAAAATGTTCCACGACAAGGATAAATATTATCTAAGATAGATTTTTAATGTAAGAATTTATCTTTGACAGGTATTTTGACAGGTAATCAATTCAGTAATAAAAAAAATCAATCAGTTCTGGGACTTATACATATCGTTACGTTACGTATAAAGACGTATGTTTATGGAATTTTAGTATTATGCTGAATAAGTGTAACATATAATACACTATTTGCTAAATCTGTCAATTGAGATTTTGTGCAGCCTTGTGTAAGCTACGAAAGCAAAAATGTTGAATCGTTTTAAGTCAGTATTAATGAGTGCTGTGGGTGCAAGCGAGCTTGGCCTGCAGTACCCTAATGATTCTGATAATGATATGATGACGGATTATATTAATTCCAATTATGTTGTGGAAGTGGAAAATAAACCTTACAGTCGTCCAAGCTTTTTAGGTTTGACATCTGAAGAAACACAGGTATTTTCTTAATGTAACTAAGTTTAACATTAATGTACATATATTTTTGTATATTGAATAGATTTATAATACCTATTTAAATAGTGATAATACTAAAAGATTATAATATTGAATTTGTTTTTAAACTATTATAAAATATTAATTATATTTGCACAGGTGAGTGCAGATCATAGAGTAAGACCTATAATAGTTCCAAGAGATCTTAGTCGTTTGCCATGGTGTGCTGGTTATGCGGAATGTATAAATGCTGGGAAAAGCACTTGGAATGAGGATCAAGCTTCTGCAACACGTGGGGATCTGAAGTTGTCAGATGTTAATGTTACGCTGCCTTACGTTATGTTTTCAATGTTTGACGGCCATGCAGGGTATCAAGTTGCTCTTACAGCAAGGTTACATCTACACAGAATAATTTTGGTGTGTATTATATTTTCAAGATAATTGACTATAATTTTTTATATGTCATATAAGAGAAATTGATGAATGAATTATTTGCAATCAGGAGAGGCTACTGGCTATACCAGGCAACATGCTACTCAATGAAGATGAGAACGAGTTGATAAAGGGCAGAGACCTAGTTACAGGTGCTATAGAATTAGCATATAGACAAATGGATCAAATGGTAGAGATGCAAGCTCAAAATGGTGGCGGTGGTTGTACAGCTATTACAATTTTATTTCTTAATGGAAGGCTGTACGCTGCAGGAGCTGGAGACTCCAGGTTGTATTAATATATTGCTTAATATATTGTCAATAATATTATGTATTTATATAACATTGTTTTTAAATTATTAGAGCTGTATTAGTTTTGGGAGAAGAACAGCGTGCTCTTACCAGAGATCACACCCCGGATTCTGAATCAAATCGTGTTAGAGCTTTAGGCTTCTTAAGAAGCAATGAATTACTGAAAGGTCATTTCACTCCACTGGAGTTTAGAAAGCGACCATTGCAGAAAGAATTGGGATCGATGGTTTTGTATAGAGAACCTTTTATGACGGGCTGGGCATATAAAACCTTAACACATCCGGACTTAAAATTACCGCTTATTTCGGGACATGGAAAAAGGGTACAGTATAACTCTTCAAATAAATATATTCTGTTTCTAATATAATATGACTAAGAAATTGTTTGCGATATGTAGAGTAGAGTAATGGGAACGATAGGCGTGACTAGGGGTTTCGGAGATCATGGTTTAAAAGCAGCGAATACCGGTGTTAATATCAAACCATTCCTATCGTCGCAACCTGAAGTACAATCTTTGGACTTAGACACTTGTAACCTTACTGAAAGAGATTGCATTATCGTTGCCACGGACGGGCTGTGGGATGTAGTATCGGATAAAACAGCGGCAGCAATACTTAGGAAAACACTTGCTCCTGATACTCCATCCCTAGAATACAGGTATGTATTATGAAATAAACACGTAAAAATTAAACTAACTACGACAAAGTATGATATACGTTCTCTTATTTTTTAGATTAACAATGGGTGCTCAAGAGTTGGTGCAAGCGGCAAGAGGCCGATTAATCGGTAGGATGTGGATGGGAAAACCCGAGAATCCGAATGAAGCAGATGAAAAATCTTCACCTATAGCATCGGTGGATGATATTAGCGTGTTAGTGGTACCTTTATATCCTTATTTATGTGAACACAAACAGTGGCTGAAGACAACACAGCAAGAACGAAAATATGCTGCGGATTCCCTAACGACGATATGTTTCGATTATCCTATTCCTAACAGGTCAGGTGACAACCCTGCATGAATTCTTATCAGATTTAGATGGTCAGCAATAAAATAGGAACACAATGTTAACTACAATGTGCAGCTAATGAATTACATTTACTGGAGTTAACTACAATGACTTATGATAAATTCGTGATTGCTTATTATTTAATCTTAATATTAGAATAATCAATGATTATTCTATAATTTGAGTGCATGGTTACCCGCATCATATTTCGTAGTTCCCTTCTTCAAATAATAAATTATTGCATACTGCCACTGTTTGTATGTTAACTACGGTCATAAAAAGGCTATGTTCTTATTATTTAAACAAACATTCCACTATGACACATTTTATGTATCGTGCGATTTTACAATATTCCGAAGCGTTTAATACGTTATATCAAACACTTCATGTATAAGCACTAATATTTGGATTGTCACTATTATATAATTAGTATGTAGGCTGTATACACAATGTAATATTAAAAAATATTTTTATATTGCTTTTTGAGGCAGACATGTGTTACCATTCGATATGTCGTGTTTATGATGTTTTATCGTGTTATGATATTTTATATATTATATCATTTTCATCTTTGTGTTAAAAATATTAACCCTCGAACGACGATCTGAGATCTCATACAAGCTGCGAAGGGGTAGTGTCTTATTTATCCCATAGATTTTTTAAGGAAAAGACTAGAAATATGGGTTAAAAGATTATTGATTTACAAGTCAAAAAATTCGAAGAAACAATTGATAATAATCGAAAAATAAGAAAAACCAGGTCTGGAGTGTCTGAAACACCCCTACCTTCGTCATTCGAGGGTTAATCTTGTGGCTACAAACACTATATATGTACTATTGGTTTAAAAACTCTACTAAAAACAAAATTAAAAAGCAAAAATAAAATTTTAATTTAAATGCAACTTTTTATTGTTAATTTATTATTCATTATATTAATTGTAATTTCTATTTCATTTATTGAGAAATTTGAAAAAAAAAAACAGTTTAACGTATCGCAACCAAAGGATTACTAGATAATGTTGTTAGTGTAAACAATCTGTATGTATGTATATAACAAGAATATTATCTATTATTTTTTTACAATAAAAATAATATGTAAATTTTATGATATCATATAATTATATAATTTATTTAGTCTGAATAACTTGTAGTTATTCTATTAAATAAATATACAGACATGTATTACTTTCCTATGTAGTTATAATTAATCAATATTCAAATAAATTTTTAACTTAATTATGAACTTAATAGTTTGACATTTTGATTTTTATATTATTAATCTTTATTTATTATTTCTAAAATTTATTATAAAATTCTCGAAAAGAGGTAGTCTATAGTAAAATTATGAGATGTACCTTGATTATATATGAGATGGCGCTATAGGTATCAAATTAGTGTTTGCCAGTCAGACCAGTTATACACTAACAATAAGCAGTGAGTATATAGTGATGTAACAATAAAGTGTGATTATGTATATGCATGAAAGATAGTACACGCACAATATAAGTTTTCATTTTTAATGGAAGAAAAAAAAAACATATATATAAAACACAATTCATGCATCTTTTTGTTTTATGTAAATGAATTAAATATATCTGAATCAATTTTTAATTTAATTGACAAAATAAATACATAATTTTAACTCCTGAAATAATTTTACAACAGAAATTAAGAAAATAATTAATGTGAATAATTTTTTTTTTAATTTCACTCAAATTATAAATGTTTATAATGAAAAAAAATTATAACAAAATGGATATGAGTAAAATTATTATAAAATAGTTACAACATAACCTGTGAATGTTTTAAATATGCGTTTATATTATAATTTTTGTTCGAATCTCAATAGATAAATATTATGATTTTAAAATTCAAAAAATTGTACATTTACTTGTTAAGTACAAACGTTTCGACCATAGTTTGCGGTCTTCTTCAGTGTACCGAAAATGATTATAATAATTCCTTTAACGTTACAAAATTTCTTTAATGTTACTGCTAACATTACAAAATTGTTTTAAATAGGAAAAACAACAAATCTAGTTTTTTTCCTTTTTGTACGCAAATTGAAACATTTTTTCCAAAGACCAAGATCAAGGTAGTCATCTATCAAAAATCATTCAGCATAAATACGTCAGTTATTCATTATAAATAATTTGAATAAAATTCTTCTCTGACTCTTAGTTACAAATTAAAACATTGAACAGAACCGAAATTGAATAGAATTCGACCTCCACTCGTGATGAGTTCGACTTTTTTGGTTGTCATTGTTATATAAAATTTATTATGTTAACACTATCAGTTATTAAAAATTTATCTGTCGACTTATATACATAATATCTTAGACCAGCTTTTGTTCAGAGTGTATTAGTCAACACTGATTTTAGTCGAAATTATGATTCTAAAACATTTAACTTTTGCGAAACTTTTGCCTCGAAGAAGTCCACAGATGCACTGTAAACAGTTGATTTGTGACAGTCTTAAAGCCAAAAAAAGCCGAAACGAGTTAGTAGCGATTAGTTGAAACATCCCAAGAACATTATACGACCGAAAATCACAATGTAACCGAGTAATTTGGAATTTTGTGTCGATAAATCATCTCTACATCGTGCGCTCTTACATTGCATCTTTTCTTAATATATTGTTTGTGTAACTACTTCTTATTCATACCATTAATATCAATGTTTTATACATTTATGTTTCAGTATATTAAGTCTTATTAATTTTCAATATGAAATAATAAGTGTCACGAATTATTTGAGGATTCACAAATTATTGAATTGATTGGATACACCTTCAGAGCTCTTTACTTGATTTAACGTATGTCTAAGACGAATTTTTATGTTTAATTATTGATTTTTTGTTGACTTTCTCATTTGAGTTTGCGTCTACGAAATTTGCGTGTCCACGATCAACGATTAACTTCAATTATTTATCTGTTGTAATCGTTAATCTTCTAAGAACTGTACACGCGTATATTTATTTGAATTGAATTGTTACACTATGATGGCCAAAATGTTTAGTGGCCGAAACGTTTGTAATTTTCTCTTTTAAAGAATTTGTTGAGCAACAAAGATCCAGCTCGGGCTTTACGTAGCTTTTTGTTATATACTTAAATAATAAAGCTGTCAATTTAAATGTTGCTAAAAAAAAATGCAAGTTATGCAGAATACTGTGAGAATTATGCAGTAATAAATACATTAAGATTAAGATGTAATCATTGCGTACAGAATTGTTGGGTACCATAAATAATAATTAATTTAAAAGCTTATTATACAAGAAATAACGCATTTTATCGTGATATATTGTATAATACTATGTACAATAATTTAATAACACCAAAATATGTGATTTTAATTAAAGATAATCAATGTTTCTTGGGACACTTATGTAAATTTAAAATATTATCTTCTTTGTATCCATTTTTTACGTAAATTTAGATCAGTTAGCGTCCCATAATTTATAGAAATTAAATGTAAAAACTCTGAAAAATTTAACTTTAATTGGTTGGAAACTAACTATAAAATTCAATCTTAAAGTTAAAACAATATAAATAAAATAAATAATATTTGTTTCAAAATTTGCAAAACATTTTATTCAAAATTAAGTATTTCGAAATATATAATATTGCTGCGATATTATTAAAATATTAAATAATATACACGTATTTTACGATAAATGTACGGTGCAGATTATCATAGTAACAAATATTTATTGCAAATGCCGTGAAATTTTCAATAGGCATCCTTTCGAAGCCTTAGCGCACGGTATACCACAACGACGATATTCGCAATTTACCAGTCACGTTATGAGTAGACAATGCGCAGGCTCTGTGTACAGGAAGGAGATTTCGGAATCAACGAAGAATCGATCGCGATCCTCGATGCTATTGTCCTTTGGCCGACCACAGTAACAGACGTCTCCTACAACTCGTGATTTACTTGGGCATGTACGATCAGTCGAGGAATTAAGCAATATCAAACTCGATTTCTTCTATGAAAAAGAAATCCATCGAAATTTGGTAAGTGACCTTTAATCAATTTTATTATAACATTAAATTTACTTTTACTATTTAATTAGAGTTGAAATTATTTCAACAATTTTTGTTTTGCTAGTTTTCCTATAACTTTCTTTGTTATATGCATTTTTGTGAAACGTAAAACAAATGATATATCGAAAGAATTTATTTTAAAAGAATAAATGAGAAGCTAAACAGCCGTAGCTAGATCGCCGTGCTAGTGTATTCGAAGACAAATTATAAAAACAACGTTTCGACATGTTATCAGGTCTTCTTCAAGTTCACAATAAATAAGAAATTACATTACAAATTATAACGCTTTTTCGGACCAATTAAACAATTATTACAGAACATCGTTGATTTGTGTTGGTGTCAGTACGCAGTTATGTAATAAAATGGATGCAATGCTGAAGTCAATAACAAATATCAATGAATTACTATTGTTAGTCATTATTTTATTGACAACTAAAACGACAAATAAACTTAGAAAATTAAAAATTAAAATTATAATAAGAATAAACGCAAAAAAATTGAAAATATACATACATTATTTTACAATTACACACATCATAC